TAAACTCATTCCCAACCAACCATGCGGGAGGAGTTCTAAGGAAAGTACATAGCCAGCAAATCTTGTCTGCCTTCCTTAGTCCTTGTTCGAAATTTATGTCAAACATATCATCAAGTCTATAAAATAGACTTCTAATATATATATGGATATCTTCTTTTTAAATCTAAAAGTAGAGCTTTTCCTTAAGAAACAAGCATCTTATCTAAGGAATTAAAGCAACAATTACCTATAGACACCCACTCTTACCAACTGATCTGCCTTTTTTAAAAAAGCCACCTAAATAAACTATCGAATGGTTTCCCTTATTTAATGTCTCCAAGGACCCAACTGTAACACTATTGGAGGGGACTCTTCGGAGAAGAAATCATGCTGTTATTTAAAGAAGAATCCAGTGAAGCTTACATGACTGAAGTCATTATAACCAAATAAATCTAACTATCAAACAATTTATTCCAACAGAGCCCCAGAGCTACCTCACAAAAAAAGCTAAAGGATGTGCAGTCACAGCCTGGGAAAGGTGGGAAAGTGTGCTGGGGGTGGGGTGGCGGTGGGGTGGACACGGCACTACAGCAGCTGCTGGGATGGGTCCTGGGCTCCCCACTCAGCTACATGCCCAGGTCAGGATGCTATTGGAAGAGCAACTCTGCCCCTCTGAGAAAGTAACAGTTCAGCACAGAGCAGGAGTTCTAGAAAGTTAAACTGAGCTCATTAAAAGGTAAGTCCTCAGGATGAACACTGACATGAAGGGAGCTGTTATCTTTAATTTCTGTGATAAATAGCTCCTATCACCTGTAGGTAAGCATCCCTTTTTCAGGGCTTTCAGACAGCCCAGTATGCGCAGTAAGTGCTAGAGGGACTACCACGGCATTTCTCTCTTTTTTTTTTTTTTGTCTTTTTCCTTTTTATCGGTACCGGGAATTGAACTCACGACTGCCTGCTTGCAAGGCAGGCGCTTATGCCGCTGAGCTAAATTCCCAGCCCCGACATTTCTCTTAACAGCAGAAACCAACATAACACAGAAGCTAAGTGCAAAGCCTCTGGGTAAAATCTGGTCTGTATGCTAGAGCTACTGCTTACCAAACTGGATCTTGGCTTTCTCATTCTCAGTCTTTTGTCTGTGGAATCACTAAAGATTTAATACCCTTTTTTACAGTAGCCTGTACAAAGCACGAGCTCAATGAAACTATAACTACGTATTACTATTATTTCAATGCAGATATCTGGGACTATGGTGAAAGAGAAGGGTACTCTGAGAATGAAATTATTTCAAAACTTTTTTTTTTGTACCAGGGATTGAACTCATGACCTCACATTTGCCAGCCTCAGCTTGTGCCGCTGAGGTAGATTCCCGGTTCCTTTTCAAAACTGATGAGGGAACACAGAAGCCTGCACATAATCAAGTCAGTAAAACTGCCAGCCTCCAGCCAGTCCCCAGCTGGAAAAGGACCGGAGTACATTTCACTGCTGAAACCGGGAGACGCAGGACACCAAGGCAACAGTCCAGACAGCAGAGGCTGCCTCTCACGCCCTGCTGTGGGAGGCAAGGCAGGCACTAGAGTGGTGCTTTGTGTTATAGCCAATACAACTGCATTTCCACCTGGGCTTTTACCACTTCCAGCCCCTCTATTCCAGCATGGGAAAAATCGCACTTGCCAACAGGGTCTGTCAGTGTGCAAGAGTAAATGCGTAATTCAACTGGCCCAAGTGCTGGGATACAGAAACTTCTTACCTACAGGGAATGCAACCCTGTGTGAATGCCAGAACACACTGCCCACCTAGCACAAAGCCACACATCAGGAAACACACAGACGAGAAGTGCTTGTGTGGCACAGTCACTGAGTGTGGGAGATTAAAACCCGGTGGCCAACTTAACCCCAGTTGAACTGAATCAACATGGTACTGAATGGGGAGCCCACCTGGGAACTGCTGCCAGCATAAAAGGGGAAATGGAGAGGAAGAAGTGGTGGTGTTGGTTCATCTGGAGGAGCTTGTCAAGCTTCTTTCCTGATATGAACTTGTTATTCTCATAGTCAGAGGAGCTCGGGACCTTGCTGCTGCTGCTGAGGATGACTGCAGGTCACTTTGGGGGATCTCTGGTCCTTACTTTGAGTGTTGCTTCCTGGCTCCAGTGTCAAACTCTCAACCTAGAGGCACAGATCCTTCATCCTGCTGGTACTGACTTTCTAGCTTCCACCACTGACCTCTGGGCCTCCCCAGGGCAGATCTGTGAAACAGACTCACATGAGTCATTGTCCTGAGCTCTAGGCCTCCAGCTGAACGCATTGGGGATATTGTAATGGGCTCTAGGTCTTCAGCTGGACTCATGCAGAACATTGCCATGGGATCCAGGTCCTCAGATTTTTGGGAGGTTTTAGTGTGTGGACAGGTTTCCTGAACTTTTTGTGTTTATCTCTTTGGGTGACTATTACACAAAAAATACTATAAATTACATATCCCATATTGTCTTGTTCTTGCAAACCCTGACTACAACACCTCAGACATATACACACACACACACACCCAAGCAGGAAACAGAAGTGCCCTCAGACACACTGTCCTAGGAAATTCTAGGGCAGGGCAAGACAGCAACAGTGGTCAAAAGAGCCTAACAGGAGGGACAGGAGAAATAGGGATTGCTGACCACTGCCCAGCTGGTTAAGCAGACACCTGCCAGAAGACAGGGGACATTGTAGGAAGGGGAAACAGTTACCTAAAAACAATAAAAGCTACACAGAGTAGGAAGAGAGAAGTTAGGGAGGCCAGAAGCACACTGGAAAGCATAACCCTGCGGACTTCTGGTCACTCCAAGAAAACTCACAGCAGCCATGTGGAGTGACCCTGCGAGTGAAGGCAGGCAGCAAGTTACTTTCTCTCCTCCAGCTACACCAGACAAGAAACCTTCACATCTTCGTTGGCTTTGTCTACGACCTTGAGTGACCTCAAGGAAAATCACTTAAAATATTATATTTGGGGGTAGATCTTTATAAAACAGAAAAACAGAAGAACTGCCCAAGGCTTCATCATACCTCATTTTCCAACTTTTAACTCAGCTTTCCTATGCTGTTTGCAGCTTGCCACACTACTCTGGCATCCTGCTTAGCAGTCTGCTGGTCCCACTTGGATGTCACTCCCTTCTCTTCCAAGGAAGATGCCCACATCTGTCTCAGGCATCCCAGCAGAGGGAGGTCCATCCGGGGTTCTCTCCTGCGCACCAGTGTGCCCCAAAAAGGACCTGATACTGACCAGACAACCACCCTGTCACCTACTAATCAGTGGACCGATCAATGGAAAACAAGGAAAGGTAAATAAAAGGTTTTTTACACAACTTATTAAACTGTCCCTTATCTCTTTTTTAAAAACTGCTTTCACAAAAGGACACAAATCCCAAGTCCGCCAGCTGAAAACACCCCTTTCTTTGGGGCTCAAGTATAACCTGACTTTTCCCTGTTCACTACTATTCTTTTAGTGACTATGCCACAGGATGTGTCTGAGTCTGAGTCAATGACGGAACTGCCAGAACAAGGAAGTGTGGCAACATCACAATCCGTGCTACAAAGCAGTCACCAACTCAAGCAATTAAACTATACAATTTCCTTCCTTATGCAAGATAAAATAATGTACTTGATTTACAAGAACCACCACAATCCACCACACTGCTGTGTTTAATCTCCACTTCTGGCCCACTTATTTTACTCCCCAGACAAGAGTGGCTGCATCAGGCCAGGATTGTGTCACCTTCTGACAGACTCATAGTTTCTGCTGGTCTGTGGGGTTCATGCTCCATTATGTCAGCGGTGGATACATTAAACTTTACCCTACAGGGCAATCATCATTTGACCACAGGTTCCTGCTCAAGGCACCCAGAGATTACCACTTATCTGACCAACCCTGCACTTAAGTCTGGCTATCTGAGGAGGATTTAAAGATAAAAATCAAGTTTGCAGCTTCTCTAGAGCAGATAGGTAATTTAAGTTATTGAATAGAGAAAACATCAATTTTCTTTCATATCAATATTACTAAGTCATTCTTGTCACATTACTAAGGATTAGACTGAAATTCAAACCTGACACCCACAGCCTTCCTCACCTTTAGATCCTCTATTCTCCAATGTCCTGCTGAGTGCGATCCCAGTTCCTTTGCATCCTGGTTACTTCACTCCAGCACCTTGTCACCTACACGTGTGCTTTCCCTCCACAAGCCTGATTGTCTGCAGAACTGACGTGGGTTCCCAGGAATGTGCCTGCCACATCACTGTGGACTTTCCACACTTACACAAATTCCTCTTGAAGTTCATTGACTCAGTCAAAACTCACAGTGGGCAACTGCACCAAGCACTGTGGCAGCCACTGTCAAGTGCCACTCACAGAAAGCACCAGGTATCACTCTCCTACTCCCACCTCACCTGCGTCTCAGACCTAGTTCAATCCACCCGGCTCCCTCCAGAGTCCACCTCCAGACCACGTGTATATCCTGCCCGCACCTGGCTGCGCATTAGGGAGTTGCGGAGCCTAAGAAACAACCCAGGTTGAGGAAGGATTAGATCACGAACAACACCGACTAGAGACACTGGAGTGACGGGGGTACGACCGTAACAGCACTAACTAAAGACTAGGGTTGGAGTGACCTGGGGGTGAGACTGTGAAAGGACAGACTAGAGACCCTGTGGTGTCCCGGGTGGAAGCTCTCAAAAGCAGCGACCAGAGACACGGGGTGACCAAGGGTGCGACCGTGACACCGACAAGCTGAAGACCAAGCCTGCCCATCCCTGCCTGTGCACCCGCTGACAAATCAGCTAAAGCTCTCGGACCGCTGCTCTCTTGGGTAACAGAAGTACACGGACCTGGAAAGCGCTAATGAACAAGAGCCGCGACCAGGTGTTGAAGCTCGCCGAGTCCGCGCTGGGATCAGGGGTGTCACTGACATACCCGGGCACTCAGGCTCGCCACACCGCAGGCCCTGGCCCAGCCCCAAGTCCTCACCACGCCCCGGACAGGGCTCACCTTGGTGGTCGTACACACTGATGTACGAGATGCCCACAGCCATGGCCCACACCACCAGGCTCGCCACGTCGGGCAGGCTGCGCTCGTCCTCGGCCAGCACTAGCCCCATGTGCACCGGCAGCTTCCGCAGCGCGCGGCCGTCCGAGCGCCAGCGCAGACGGGCCAGGCCAACGCGGGCCCTGGCGACCTGGCGCCGGGGCCTCCCGGGCGCCGGGGGCTCGCGCGCCACGAAGCCGAGCGGCGCTAGGACCACGGCGGCAGCGGCGCGGCAGCAGCGCCTCCAGGCCAATGTCCAGGCGCCGAAGCGGGCGCGCAGCCGGGCTGACAACGCGCGGTGCAGGCAGAGCAGTGCGTGCAGCAGCCGCCACGCCAGCTCGTGCGGGCCCGTCATGCTCGCTCCACGCCGGGTGCCTGCTACCCCCGGCCGCCGCGGCGGGCCATCCTCTCAGCGTCCGCCCGCGCAGGCCCCGCCGCCACCAACGCCTCACCGCGCCCCCGCCGCCATCTTCCCGCCCGGCGCCCCGCCCCGGATACCTGGACGGCGCTCGTTGGCTGGCGCGGCTGTAACGTACGCGAGGAGGAGGGCGCGCGGACCAGTACGAAGGCAGCGCGCACTGCGCCCCCTGGCGGTCGGAGGACTGACGGCGGGGGCCGACGCGCTTCCGGCAGGACATTGGGAAAGGACACGTGGCGTGGGCGGGGAAGTGGCTCCAGGAACCCAGCCAGCATCCAGTGTTCGAGGAACACAAGTGATTTAAGAGGCTCGGAAATGACACACGCCAGGAAGACCCTACCGGTGTCGACTTAACGCGGTGGAGCAGCGAGGCCCTCGAAGAAGTGCCTCTTAGAGAGTTAGCTCCGCCCGCGAGGGACGGCCTCGGAGACGCTCCGCAGCGGTCACAGGCCCACGGGCGCCCGCTAGCTGGCCTTGCAGCCACCGCGGCATTTCCTGCATTCACGCACTCGCTCCCAGAGTTGCCGCCCGCCAGCTCCAGCCGGGCGGACGGGCAGGAAGTGCAGCTCCGGCCTCAGTGGCCAGCCTGTCGCCATGATCGCATCCCGCCTGTGCACGCCGTACTCGGCCCGGGCCGAACCCGGGCCGAACCCGGGCCGGGCCGCCATCTCTGCCCTCTGCTCAAACTTTCCCGGCCCGCGCTTCAGGTGTTTCTGCCCGAGCCTGCAGTTGTCCCGGCCGTGGGACGCTAAATGCACACGCACGCGTGCAGCCACTTGCATCTCCCCCCTCCAAAACTCCCTTTTCCCGCTGGAAAACCTTAGCTGACCGGCCATGTGCTCCTGTTTTGACCACTGTCTCCTTTTTGGCCAGGCTCATTTGCGTTTCTGGGGCACTTCACTTGATTTCCAAACTCCCATCTGCGCCCATCCCAAGCCGCTCCAACGCGAGGCCAAGGCGCAGTCGCAGGGAAGCTCGGCCGGCGGGGGCGCCAGTCTCTGGGCTGTACGCTCTGCGCCCCGGCGCCGGGACCCGCCGCCCACACCGCCGGCATCCACACTCCTCCCTCAGGAACTGCTCCCCACCCGCCACCCCCCATCCCTCGCCTGACTCAGCTTCGGGTCCCCGGGGCCGCTGTGACAGATAAGGGACGCGCACTGGTGCCTGCTCTTCGCACTTGTTGGAATGAAGAACAGAAGCACGAGGATTCTGGCCACATCCCTATAGGCCAGTCCCTCTAACAGCCCCTGCGTCGCTCCCCAGGGGTGTGTGCTCCTAGAACAAGCAGAACCGGGTAACAGTTATCCTTAGAGGGTGGGTAATAGGGCTGCTTGTCCTCCACACCTTGCAGTAGGGCCAAGAATGGGCTGAGGAAGTAGCTCTGCTATTATCCTTAGCCTGCATGAACAAGCCCTGAGTTCAGTTCCCAGCACGGGAAGGAAGGAAGGAGAGAGGGAAGGAGCCAAGGAAAGAAAAGGAAGAAAAAGAGAAAACGAACTACAGCAGGGTATGGGTGGACTTGTCTCTTTGTGACCCTGGACTAACATAGCTCTCCCCCGCACGGTTTTCAGGGGAATCTGTGGAATGTGGCTTGGCTCTGCTCCAATCCCACCAGAGACAGGACCACTGCACTTGGCCCAGAGAATCAAGCAGCCTCTTTGGAGGCCCTTCAGCTGCTGTGGGACTGAAACACATACAGGAGGGGCCCTATCCTCACTGGCAGCATTCTGAGTTGTGGGGACACAGACTCATCCTGGGTCTGGGCTTCTGCTGGCCCCTCCTGCCTGCCTGTCACATGTGCACTTCCCAGAACCTGTGTGCCAGGGTTCTGCCTCACCAAACAAGGGGGTGGACGCCATCACCAATGCAAGGCAAACCCACTTTGCCTGTGTAGTTTTTACCACTTCCAAGGTGGTAAGGTCAGTATCCATCGCTTTCCACAATCCAGGATGACAGCAGAGCTAAACTGCATTGTGGACACACTTACCCCAATGTCCATGGTGCCCACATCTTCACAGGTGCTTTAGGCTGTCCCATCAAAAGAATAAATGTGGTCCTTTAGCAATGTGAGGGGTTCAGTTTATAAAGTCTGAACTTAAAAACATTTAAATTTCAACCCTCCCCCAAATTTGACCAAGGACAGAAAAATATCAAGAAAATGCAACCTCAGACTGCAATCAAGTCCCCAACATTATGGATATGGTACTGGACTTGTTTTTCCATTACAAAATGCTCTATGCTTATTTAATCCTCTCTGTGGAGGCCAGGAGGAGACATCTGGACTGTACAGAGCAAAATCACTGAAGAAATGAACAGACAAGGAAGCCCAGCCTGAGCTCACTGATGCCTGCTCCACACCTGCAGCTTTCAGGCAGAAATGAGCCATGTGGAGAGCAAGGCTGACCTCCACGTCTGGGACTGGGGCTTCCCAGGGCTCGGTGACCCACACTCCTGGGTATGTTTAGTGGTCAGGTGTACTTTAGGGGCTACACATGGTCCCAAGCCTGCCCTCGCACTGCCGTAAACATGGTAAGCCATATGGTTTCCTGGTAACCACTGCCCCAGATGCCTTCTCCCACTATCAGGGTCCTGATCAGTGTAGTACAATTTCAGTAACCACTGACACATCACCATCTCCCTGTGGGCAGTTTACAGGGGGGCTTGTGTCCTACATTTTATGGGTTTCAAAAAAGGTACGACCCATGCTTTTACCAATGGAGTGTCACACAGACTAGCTCTGTGACCTGAAAATCATCTCTGCTCTCCAGCAAGGCTCTGACAACCTCTGACGCTGATCCTGTCTCCACAGCTCTGCCTTTCCCAGGTGCTGATAGGTGCAATCCTGAGCAAGCAGCTTTCCATTTGGATCACCTTCTTTCAATTACTGATGTGCGTCATAAGGCTATTCATGCCTCTTTATGGGTTCATGCCTTGTTTCTTTTTTTTTTTTCTTTTTTTTTTTTTCTTTTTCTTTTTTGTCGGTACCAGGGATCGAACTCATGACTGCCTGCTTGCCAGGCAGGCGCTTATGCCGCTGAGCTAAATCCCAGCCCCCGCCTTGTTTCTTTTTAGTGATATTTTCTTACTGTTAAATATGTAGTTGCCCATTGATATGATGAGTTCCATTAGTTGACTTCTGAATATTGAACCAAACCTGTCTACCTCGGCTGAATCCCAATAAGTTGCCATGTATTCTTGTGTCCCATTGAATTTGATTTACTGATGTTTTCTTGGAGCTTTTTGCATCTGTGTTCATGAGCATGCGAGTCTAGTATGCAGTTTTCTTTTTTTGTAATGTCCTATTGCTTTTGGCGTAGGGAAAATGTTGGCCTCATTGGATGAGTTAGGATGTATTCCTTCTATCTTCTGAAAAAGACTATAAAGAATTGGTAAAATTTGTTTCTTAAATGTCTGTTAGAATTCACCAGTATACCCTGTCTGGTCAAGTAGTTTCTGTTTTGGAAAGTTATTCATAACTAAATTCAACTTCTTTAATAGATACAGGCCAATTCAAATGGATTTTCCTTCCTCTCTTAGTTGTAGCAGTGCGTCTTTGAAGGACTTGGCCCATTTCATCTTTTTACTTTTAGTCTGTAAATTGTTCTGTAGGCATAGAGTTTTCATAGTATCACATTATTAACCTTTTGGTGATCATGGGATCTGTAGTGATGGCCTCTCTTTCATTACAACTCTAGTAATTTTTTTCTTCTCCATTGTTTTTCTTAGCCTGGCCAGAGGTTTATCAAAAAACCAGCTTTTGTTTTTGTTGATTTTCTCTACTAATTTCCCATATTTGATTTTACTAACATTTATTATTTCTTTTCTCATATTTACTTTGGATTTAGTTTGCTCTTCTTTTTACAGTTCTTAGGTGGCACCATAGATTACTGACTATAGATCTTTCTTCATTTCTAGTATATGCAGTAAGTGATGATAGGATTATTTCCAAAAGATGAAAAGTATTTCCAAAAGATGAGAAGTATAAAACAAAAAGCGGCCTTATTCTGAGAACACGGAGAGAGATGACCGGCACCCCCCCAACTGCTGGTGTTCCATGATCTCTCTGGCAGAATACATGGAGTGAGGCACATAAGTAGCCTCGGTTTGGGGTGGAACCTAATGGAAGCATTAGGGATGCACAGGTAGCCCATTGGTCCTAGGTTTGGCGCCATAGGTAAATTTCCAGGGGCAGGAAGGTGGCGTCACAGGTAAATTCCTAGGGGCAGGGGAGATAGGGGCTTCCTGCTTCCAGTTGAGGCTTTCCTGGCCACAGCGCCCTGTCTAGGCCAAAACCCTTTCAGTGATAACTTCACATACTCACGTTTTGGCTACCTTCTACATATTTTGATCAGTTCTATTTTCTTTTTCTTTCTTTTTTTGTCTTTTTCATTTTTATCGGTACCAGGGATCGAACTCACGACTGCCTGCTTGCAAGGAAGGCGCTTATGCCGCTGAGCTAAATCCCCAGCCCCAAGTTCTATTTTCAATAACATTTTTACTTTCTCTTGAGGTTTCCTTCTTGAAGAATGTGCTGTTTAATGTCCAAGCATCTTCCTGTTATTAATTTCTAAGTTAATTCTTATGATCTGAGAGTAGGCATTTTTCTTATTTTACATCAGTTAAGACGTATGTTAGGGCCAAGAATGCCTGCCACAATAAATTTCCTATGTGGCTATGAGAAGCATGTGTGCTCCACTGTTGCCTGATGAGTAGCTGATACACTGATCAGCTGACTGAGGGTGTTGATGAGTTCAGCCATGTGCTTGCTGACTTTCCTTCCACCTTTGGGATCTGTTAGGAGTGGGAAGAGTACAACTATAATAATAAATTCATCTTTTCTTGCATTTCTGTTGATTTTTACCTCATATATTTTGGTGTTCTCTTATTATGTACATGCAAATAAAGGATTTTTATATCTTCCTGGAGAATTAACCTTGTCATTATTGCCTATATTTGCCCCTAATAAATTGCTTTGTTCAGAAACTGGCTTCACCTAACTGTGTGAGTTTGAGGGCAGTCTAGACTACATAGCAAGACCTCTCAAAAAAAAAAAAAAAAAAAAAAAAGCAAAAGTTGACTTTATCCAAATTAATACAGCTATTCATTTTGATTACTTTTAATATGGTGTATCTTTCTCCATCTTATGACTTTTTGATTATATGTGTCTTCACATGTAAAGTGAGTTTTTTTTGCAGGTAACATTTAGTTGGACCTTTAGGCGATATATTTTTTTTTTCTTTAGACAGGGTTTGCTTTCTACTCAGGTTGATTTTCAACTCCTGGACACAAAGGATCCTCACATGTCAACCTCCAGAAACAGATTCTAGCCTCGGGCCACTGCCCTGTGTCACTGGTTTAAATCTGTGCTGACAATCTGTCTCTCAGTTTGTGTGTTTATATAACCAGCGTTTACAGTGATTCATGACATAGACAGTTGGACACAAGCTACCTTACTTACTTACTACTGTTTTCTATTTCTTGCCTATATTGTTGGATCCTACTTTTGTCTTCTATTTTTTTTTTTTTCCTGCCTATTTTGGTGTTAACTGAGCACTTTATATAATTCCACTTCTGTTGAAGCTGAATGCATGTGCAGGGCTGTGGCATGGCCCAGCCCAGGTGTGGCTTTCAGGGAATGAGGAGACGCCTCAGGGGGCAAGATAGGCCACAGTTGAGGACACCTAGACTTTTCCTTCTAGGCTAATTATCCTTCATTAGCAAGGTCTGTTACTTGGAGGGGTCCTTGAACCTCTCCCAAGGCCCTGCTCAGGTTTCCTGCATTTTTCACTCTAACCCCTTCCTTTGTTTGAGTACTAAATAAATACAGGCTGCCCAGAGACACTGTCTCAGCCAGCAAAGTTAAGAACTCTGCAGAGGGGGCTGGGGATTTAGCTCAGTGGCATTAGTGCTTGCCTTGCAAGCGTGTGGTCGTGAGTTCAATCCCTGGTACCAGTAAAAATACAAAAAAAAAAAAAAAAAAAAAAAAGAACTCTGCAGAAGGTTTTAGTCCTCTTGGAGCCCTAAAGATCAGACCACTTGTCTCATTTGTTTGGGCCTTCACTCTGCACTCGTTTGGGAGATTGGGGATCTAGGCACAGACTCCAGTACATTTCCTCTGCTTTCTTAGAGTATGAGTTATGCAGGGCTGGGGATTTAGCTCAGCGGCATAAGTATCTGCCTTGCAAGTAGGCGGTCATGAGTTCAATCCCCCGTACCCATAAAAAGAAAAAAAAAAAAAAAAGTGTGAGTGTGAGTTATGCTTCTTTTTTTTTTTGTACTGGGGATCAAACTCATGATGCCACGCTTGCCAGGCAGGTGCTTATACCGCTGAGCTAAATCTCCAGCCGTTATGTTTCTTTAATTTGTAGTATTATTTATAAATAATCCTGTTCTTCTTTCAAGTGACACTGCACCACTTCAGAGAATGCAGCTGTATTATGATAATGAGATGGTCCTCCTTCCCTTCTCACTCCATGTCTCAGCTTATAGATTTGCATATGTATATGTAATAATGTGTGTAGACACAATCATATATATCTGGATGGTCAGATGCACTGTTACTGTCATTTTTAGCAAACTGTTACCCCAAGTCAATTAGGAATTAATTTTACCTTCACTTATTTATTGTACTAATGCTCTTCTTTCCTTTGCATTAATCTGAATTTCTAATTGATCGCATGTTGCTTCGCTGAAAAAATTTCCATCACTATCTTTTGCAAGGTAACACATTCTCCAACTTTTGTCTAAAAAAGTCAATATTTACCTTCATTTTGAAGGAAATTTTGTTGGATACAGAATTCTGTTTTGTGAGTTTTTCCTTCAACACTAAAGGACTAAAGCAAGCCCTGAGAACATGAGATCTCCAGGAGAGCCAAGTAAACAAGCTGTTCCAACTCCAAGAACAGGAGGTGCTCAGGCAGTCACATGAAGTTGCAAAGCAAAGGGGCTGAAGGGGGCTCCACCTGACCTCAGCTTTCACCACTTTTATTTTCCCATTCTTTCCCTGTCCTTCCCTGCAGGAACATCTAGATCTGCTCTGGATAAAGCAATTATTTCATTTGTATATATAGATAATTAAGCAAATCAAGCTGAGCAGAATAATTAACTAAATGACATAAATGAACCATGACCCTAAAAAAATAGGGCTTTAGAGCATGTATAAATTCAGTTCCTTGGTGCTGGGAAATGGATACGATCTGTATGTAAGAGGCATAGAAGAGTCCCTGGACCCTCTCTCAAACCAGTGTCTGTTTTATGAGGACTGAGACCAGGATCATGGGCCGAAGCCTTGATGTGCAAAGTGCTGTGTGATGAGGGGACCCAAGGAACTGGCAGAAGGAAAAAGCAGCCGTGAGAAAGGTGAGTTTTTCTGGGGATCAACTGGAAGAAAACTTTCTTTTCCAATAACCGGTAAGTCCAAGGGCTTTCTCCCCCTGAAGTAAGAATGGAGACTCATAGGTCCAATAAACCCACTTGGAGACAGCAAACTCTTTGCAAAAGTGTTACAGAAAACCCACACCAGATGGAGGTGAGTGTATGCATTTCCTGCTGTCATGTACCTTGTGTAAGCCTTGTGGGGAAACCTTCTAGCACTGGTAAATTTCGAGCAATTCTGAGTAAAAGCTAAGACTGATCTCTCTTGACAATCCCAGCCTACATGATAGCAGTACTTTCCCTGGAACCCAGCGTGTGTGCCTGAGAGGAGCACAGTGCCTTCCTTTCAGATTATTCATGTCATTTACTCTCACTGGGGTTCCAAACAGGGATGACATTCCCAAGACTAAGAGAGGAACAAGTCTTGCACCAGAGAAGGATCAGATCCTTGCAGCCACCAACACAAATGTTTCAACACGGGTTTGTGCCACAACCCACGCAGCTCTTGAGATTCTTAGGGAGAAGGACCGCAAGAGGATGGGAAAATAAGAGAGAAAAGTTGAGGTCAGGTGGAGCCCTTCCTCTCCTGATAGGAGAGAAGGGACTGCTCAACCACTGTAGCACATGTATTTATACACTCAAGAGGATGATGCCAATTTCATCCCCATTGCCTAGAAACTCATTGCTTGGATTGTCTAGTGGCTTGGTGGTTTTCTGGGCTGGAGCACCTTGTTTAGGTGGTTTGCAACGGGCACTCTGTTCCACAACTGGCCCACCCAGATGTGATCAGTTTCCAGCTTCAACAGCTCCCTACAGGTTTGATTTGCTAAAAGGCAGCAAGCGTGGTAGGACCAAGCAGTAGCTTGGTTCTGACTCCTGTGGGTCAAGGCAGGTGTGACTTGCAGTGTGAGGAGTTCCTGGAAGAAAGAGAAGGACCTTCAGGAAGGATATGTGCAGCCCACTGCATAGCCCTAGGGCTTATTTCCACCTGGCCAGGCTGGGTGTTGGCATTTGGGGTGGGCAGAAAAAGCTCCATCTGGAAAGGGACAGATTCACCTGTCATGGGGGTGTGAGGAAAATGTTTTCCTTTCATATAGTGGTAATTGCAGCACTACTGTCATCATTTTTTTGTTTTTGTTTCTTTGAGACAGAGTCTCTCTGTACCAGGCTGGCCTGAGCTCTCTTTGTAGCCTAGGCTGGTCTCTAACTACCAACGATCCTCCTGCCTCACCCTCCCAAGTGCTGGGATTACAGGCGTGAGCCCCCACTCCGGGCTCTACTGTCATCATTTTACACATGAGGAAACACACAGAATTAATGTGGGAAAAATATGTCTTGGGAAGTGGATCTTTCATTTTTAAACATCTGTTCCCAAGCAATTCTTTTTCTTAGGCACCAAATAGAACCTGGTGCCAAGGACACCTTCTCTTTCCAATTGCATGGAGTTTCAATTCACACCCACCTTCTAGGGGCTCAAAGAAATGTCCATATTCCAATCTTTATTCCACCAGTCACTTGTCCTGCATTCCAATCTGACCTCCTGCTGCTATCCAAGGTTAATAGGTAATTATCTGATTTTATGAAAAATAAGATTTGTCACAAGTAGAAATGCATAACTGAGCTTTACAATTTCCTTTTATATTTGTTTTTCCTTTTCTTTTGGTAAATTAATCATTAAGGTTAATCAAGAACCAGAAATTTAGATGAATAGATAGGTGCTGTTGTGGAATGAATTGTGTTCCCCCAAATTCCTATGTTTAAGGCCTGGATGTAATAATGTTTGGAGACAGGACCTTAGTGAAGTGTTACGGTTTAGGTCTGAACTATCCTCCAAAAGTCTCATTCCAAAGCAAAGCTTTTTCAAAAGTGATTGGATCATGGGGTGCTATGCTTATTAGTTGATTAATCCACAAATAAGTTCATAGTTGAATGCTCTCTTAGGAGGTGGGGCCTGGTTGGAGGACCCAAGTCACTGGGGTCATGACCTAGAAGGGTGATTATCCTCCCCAGCTCCTTTCCTCTCTCCTCTCCACTTGCCTTTGGGGAGCAGCTGTCCTCTTCCAGGCCTTTCCACCATGCATTTCTGCCTTGGAGCCAGCTAACCATGAACTGAACCCACTAAAATCTGGGAACCAAAATAAACTTCTCTTCTTGTGTGCTGTGAGCATCAGATATTTTGTCCTAGTGACAGGAAGCTAATATAGGAGGCAATTAAGCTTATTTAGGATTTTATGACTTTTATCTAACCCCCCCCCAGCCTCAGTCATACATAAGTGGGGATTTTCAGAGGTGGCTGGATCTAGAGTGATGCTAGGATTAAGTGTGTGATACTGGGATCCAAGGTATATAATTACTAAATTTGTAAACTGACTGGTTTGGCATAGTTCATAGTGTAGATGGGAAGGCCCACTTGAGTTGTGGACTGAGCTATCTTAGGCCCATCTGAGTTGCCTAAGATATCTGCCTGTGGTATTTTATTACATTTTTCCAAGCAGATGAATGTGGTGTTTTACTGGAATGTTATTTGTTTCAGTTACTTTATCTTACTGCTGAGACAAAACACCCAACACACAGCACCAGAAACACATACAAACAACTAAAAACGGAGCCAAAGCCCAGATGCAATCAAGTTCCAGCTCTGTGTTCCTGAATGTGCAGTCTGTCAATCATTTCACTGTCTTAGATTGAGCTCCTTCAAGAGACATGGTGGCTCACGCCTGTAATCCAAGCCCTCTGGGAGCCTGAGGCAGGAGATCGTAAATTCAAGCCTAGGCTGGGCAGCTTAGTGACTAAGTAAAGTTTTGTCTCAAAAACAAAACAAAACAAAACAAAGAAAAACAAAACCACTGAACTTCATTTGAAAATTACCATATTCTTTCTCAAGATCTTCACAGCCGGGGAATTCTGATTATAAATAAAAATTCAGGTGATATCAGAGGCTATAAATTATTATACATCTCCCATCCATAGTCTGTTTTTAGAGAGAACTGTAGATCTAAAACATTAAAAGAAGCTGACACTGCACGCAAAATCATCTAAATGTTCCTCATCTCTGTGCTTTGTGCATTTGGGAGTTTGTGTCTGCGTGCCTGGGAGAGGGAGAACCGCAGGACAGTCAGGTTCTTCTCCAGGCAGTGTCAGGTTCAAAGGAAGAAAGTCCAGACAGCAAGAAACGCAAAGTCTGCATGAAATGCTAAGCTGCAACGTGGCCTTCTGAGGAAAGTTCTATCTCCTGGGGCTATCCTGGCCAGTCCACTCCCCTGGTCTACTTTGTCTGCTATTAGTGATATTTTGATGGAAAATGATATATTAAGTACTACAGTAGACAAACCTTACTAACGAAAACAGAAACAAATTTTGGATAGGATTTTGAGTTACTCACACAGTGGATTGATAGAAATGTACTCTGCCACAGCTACAGCTCCTCCACAGCCACCCTGAACACCCTCCGCCGCCGATGGACAGCAAGGGCTGGCAGCACGCAACTCAAAGCACAGCCCTGCAGGAAGGCCCCGGTGACATCTGGTGTCTGAGGTGCCACTCACATTTCCCTTTTGGTGTCCCTCTGGTCTTGGTAAGACTGTCACTTAAGACCTCAGTCCCCTAACCAAGAGGCAAACCTGTGAGTTGGGCTAGGCCAGCTGGCCTCTCTAGGGTAAGCAGAGGCCAGAGGGAGGGTGCCAGGAGGAGCCTCACTCTACAGCATCATCCTGAGGGGGCATCTGCTCCTTCTCTGCACCGGCCTGGGCAGCACTGTCCTCTGAGGTCACCTGTTAGGGATTGAGCCCCATCCCAGCTGGGAAGGGGAGGTGGTGGGACACCTGGGACGCAATGGGAAGAAGTGAAGTTCCCTGACTGGTGACTGGGGCCTTAGTTCACCCTTTTCCTAGTGCATTAGCTGAGTGCTTACCTGTGCACCGCCAGCAAGGCCCAAAGAACAGGGCCGGTGACCGTGGACGCAAGCCTATGCTGCCCTGGGCCTAGGCAACCCTACCTAGGATACTGTCAAGTGGTGGGGCAGTCCCTCAGCTTGCCAAGGACTCTGAAGATCCTCCCCTACCCGATCCCGCCTACCAGGCTCTCCAAGCTGAGCTCAGGGTCCAGAGCCTGGCGATGCACAAAGGCTTCTCAGTGGCAAACACAGGCCCATTTTCAGGAAATGGGCCACAGTGATTTTGTCTGGCATTTTTGTTTGCACAGGCTTCAGGATACACAGATATCTTTAGAACCGGAAACAGCTCACGTGGGTGGGTCCATGTTTCTATTTTTCTTCCCTAAGGAACTACCCACCCTACTCACAGCACAGTCCTGGTGTCCAGGCTCATGGCCTGGAACTCACCTGTCACTCGACCTCATAGTCTTCATCCTCCTCCTCAGCAAGCCCCGCAGTGTCCTCGTCCACTTCTTTATCCTCACCCTTGTGTGTGCTTGGCCCAGCGGCACCTGGTCGCAGCAGTGGCTGGCACTGCTGCACGATCGTGCGCGACCACATCCAACTCTCGCCCTTGTGCTCTGCAGGCGCTGCGCATCGCCCACCCCGAACATCCGTGCCGCTGGCGCGCAGCAGCTCCCGCACCCGCAGCAACCCACAGGTACAGTTCCAGGGGTTCCGTCCAAGTAGAAGTGCCGGAGCCATGGCAGCCCCTTGAGGGCCCTGAGTTCCAGGGCCGAGATCTTGTTATTGCGCAGGTTGAGCACCTGGAGCTGCTTGAGACCACGGAGCTTTTGCTCAGCCATGTCCTGGATGGCGTTCCCTTCAGGTCCAGCCTGGCCAGGGTGCCAGGGAGCCTGCGGAGGAGGAGTAAGGGAAGTAGGGGTAGCTGAAGCGGGCCATGGGCACGACCAGCACACACAGGGATCCAGTTTCTGTCAGGAAATCAGTGGGACCCTGCAAGGGCTTACCCTAAGCCCAAGGTGTAACTCCAATTGCATAAAAGCAAATATTTTTAAGTATTTTGCTTATGTCTACAGAGGCTGCAGTTAGATGGTGAGAGATAATATCTATCTTTAGCACGCTGTGTTTTCAACCTTGAACAGCTAAATTGCTTTATAATAAAAAGGGGAAGGTTTTTTAAAAAAATACTATAAATACTGATAGAATTTTGGTGCGGCTGAAAAGATAAGTATGAAATATAAATTTATTTAAGGACGTGGGGAGAGACCCCCTGACCCTTTGGGATCTGGCATTGTCCCTGGGAGCTGGCATTCTCTCTGTCTGATATGTGGTGTGGGGGCATACATGGTAGCTTAGGCTTGGGGTGGTGCCTAACGGGCATTAGTGATGCACAGGTAGCCCATTGGTATTCATTTTGCACCACAGGTAAATTCCTAGGGGCGGGAAAAGCTGACCTCAAGATACAGCCCCCTGGTTCTGCCTCCCAGCCTCTTCCCACCCAGCTACAGTGTCCGGCCTAGGGCAAGATTCTTTCAAATACCAATTTGAAAAATGCTACGCCTGTTAATAAAAATACAAAAGAATCACAATAACGAACCTGAAAATCTCTTACAGTCAAAAACTTCCCAGTAAGAGCTTTTCTTACTATGAGCCAAGAAAAGCCGGAAACTTTTATAGGAAATAATAAAGGCCCTCCCTGATTAAAAAGCATCCAAATGTCTTCCTCACAGCTTGAGTGCACTGTAAGTCCTGCATTTCAGTCCTGCATTTTGCTGGATGAAAGAAAATGAACAAACTTAGCCATAGTGTAGAAAAATATTATTGTTGCTTATTATTATGCATAAATATTTATGCTTTTTGAGTGATCATGCATTTCAGTATTGGTGGAAATGCTTCAAAATGGATTGTTAGGCAGTTTTGGCCACCATGTGAACAGCACATAGATGCTTTCACAAAACATGCAGCCACAGTATTGCAAATGAATTAATCTCATGAGACCCTGATCTTTGCCAGGGGGTCAGCCTTGCTGGAAACATTGTTACTTGGCCCCTTGCTGCATGCTAAAGTCTTCATTATTTGAAGCGTCTTCTCTCTAGATGGAATAAAACTTACCTCATAGATTCATTTACTGCGGAAACCCCCTTCATACACCTTAACCGCTTGAGCATTCAATTCAGCTGGAAATTAATCTTCAAGAAAATGTAATTTTGTGCACAGCCAGTTTATGTCAGGTGAATTTCCAAGAAGCTTACAGAAAATCTCTTTCCCTTTGATTTGCTTTGTTTCTTCCCCAAGGAAGAAGGACTAGGAACAAATACCAGTCCTAGCAGGGGACCACAAATTCACAATGGCTTATTTTGCATACTTCCCTCAGGGATAAACAGAGGTTTAGGATTATCCTATTACCCTTTTGAGGATTTCCCATTAACTCTTTAGGGATGGACCATTCTCTCCCACTGAGACTACAAAAGACCACTAGGTTTAAAAAACACTCTAGGGCAAGCAAGGTCCTTCTTGGCATAAGATCATCTGTGCCCTCTTCAGTCATCCCAAGATCACACTTGCCCACTGGGTCATGAGCCTCTGAGTCTTCCGCCAATTTTGAATCTTTTGCCAGCCCCGCTGTCACTGTGAACACTCACTGAAGAGTGGCTGTCTTGGAGTGTCGTTCTCTTGGCCCATCTGGAGGTATCACCTTCCCAGTCACTCCTCATGTATTACTAAATTGTCTCTGTTTCCATTTTATCCTTTCACTGTACCTTGACACAGGCAATTGGAGATCTTGGCCAGGTCCCTGATACCGTGGAGCAAAGCTGGGGACTGACAAGGTGAGTGAGGAGTTTGTCCCTGCTCTCTAAGCGAGTAGTGATCTTTGCCTCTGCACTTGCTAGTAGTGTAAGTTTCTTTTCTTAAGGCTTTCAATTTTCTGCCTAACAGCTGAAAGTGCTCAGGATGCAGAAGTCACACAACAACCCTTAGATAATGAAAACCAATATGGTGGGTTTTCTTTTAAGCAATTATTCAATTCTGTGCTGTGTGTTATAACCTAAGCCCCCCCTAACTATCGCTCCGAAGCCTGTTCTGTATAAGCCCACCTGCTGCTTCCCCTCCCCTTCTCCCTTCACATCTAACTCGGTTAAGTTTTAACTTCCCAAAAGGCCACAAAACAAAGACCTGAGCCCGTCACAAATTGTGTTAATTGCATCAGATTGTACTATTCTTCACAAAAATAGCTTCCTTTGTATCATAGCAATACCTGTGACTTGGCCTTACTGTATATGTGTTTTCCTTTTCCCTCTGAGTAAAGGATTGATATGTTAATCAATGCTCTCCTCTGTAAAGAATTGTAAAATCTTATCTAATTGATATGTTATCCATCGTTGCCCTCTACAAATAACAGTTGTGGTGCTGAAGTAGGGTAGCTAAGGTTGTTAATTGCTGTTAGAATTCTCTATTCTTTGCTAAGAAAAACAAGATTTCTTCTTATCTAAACTTGCTTGTATGCAGGGAGACTTGCTTACCCTTACCTGATCTTGCCCTTCCCAAGACGTGTAATCACCCTTTCTGTTTGCACCACACCCCCATCCCCTTCTTTACATTGTGTGACCTGCAGCTGTTTGTGGATTTACAAGATAAAAGCCCTGACTTTTAGCGATACTCAGTCTCCAACTTGGCTCCCAGAGATTCGTCACCAGGCCTGGAAATAAAGCCTTTGCTTCCCAAATTTTAATTTCTTGCTTCCTTGGATTTTATACTGGGGTCCGAGTTATCACACTGTGTAGCCAAAAATCATGGCTATTCTTAAGTCTAAGTTTCTCTTTCTTTCTTGTTTCTAAGGAACTAAAACCAAAGTGACATCAGGAAAGATACCAATTTTCCTGATTTGTATCTGTATGTCAGCCACTTAATGCTTTAATAAAACCTGTATCTTTTAAAGTAGCCCGGGTTTGAAGGCAAACATGCTCGTAGAAATGCTGACACATGATCTTTGGGGTTTGGCCAGCAAATAGCACTGTGCCTAAAGATGAAATGCTGAGCCTGAAGGCTCTAGAGAGCTGGTCTGGACTTGAGCCGCCCAGGGAGGCAGAGGAGATGGTGGAGCTCTGCTCTGCCCACAGGCTGCAACCTGGTAAACCTGGAGAGAGGATGCTTCACTCATGCACCCTCAGCAGCAGCTTGTCTGGGGAATGGCAGAGTGAACCCCAGAGGCAGCTGAAACTCCCAGCTCTGAAACTACTGTGTTTAAATCCCGACTCACCATGTATTGAAAATATAATTTTGACCAATTTTCTTATTTTCTCTAAGCCTTAAGACCCCAATCTGTAAAATAATAGATAAAGCAAGGTGTCTGCCCTCACAGGACTCTCATGTGGAGTAAGAAGGTATAATGAATATATGAGAGCTCAGTTCTGGGCTTACAAGCACTCGAGAAACACAGTGAGCACAGGGAGGCATCACTGTGTACCAGAGTACACCCATACCAGGATGACTGTGCTGCCTGCTTGGTGACAGGTGGAACGCGGGAGGACGGGCCAAGGAGGAAACCTGTAGAATTCATTTTGGTGACAGGAGCAGGTTGCTTGTGTTTACAGTTTATTTATGGAAAACTGAATTTTGGGGCTGGGGATTTAGCTCAGCGGCATAAGCGCCTGCCTTGCAAGCAGGCAGTCGTGAGTTTGATCCCTGGTACCAGGAAAAAGACAAAAAAAAAAAAAAAAAAAAAGGAAAACTGAATTTTATAGCGTAGATTTTTCTATATGAATGAGAAGCATGCAAATAAAAAGAAAAAAACGTACTGTCTCAAGCTCTCAAATAAAAATAAAAATTCAAAGATATGGAATGGATATTATTGTGCCCCCCCCCCATTTTTTTGGTCTTTTTTTTTTTTTTTGAGACTGGGTTTCACTGTGAGATTCAGGCTGGCTGTGAACTCACTTTGTATCTAGGCTGGCAACAAACTCGCAGTGATCCTCCTGCTTCAGCCTCCTGAGTGCTGGAATTACAGGCATGTGCCAACGTAAAACCATTGTGTCTTTATTCTTTATGGGAGGAAAAACACAGAAAACTTCTCAGAGTTGTTCTCGGTTTCCAAAATAAAAAAAAGCTGTGTGTGTGTATGTGTGTGGAGGGGTGCTAGTGACAGGTACTCTAAAATTACTCCAGCTCTTCTATCATCAATGGCCATGAGCTTTGGTGGGCCATGGCTGAACCATGTGCTTGACTCAAGCTCACAGAAAAGCCCACCCAACCTCACATCGCATAGTTCACTGTCCCTGCCTCGTGGTTCTCAGCCCAGGATACACATTTCAGTTCATACAGTGAGCATCTTAAAAATACTGATATTTGGCCCCAACTCAGGTGTCTGGTCTAAGTGGTCTGAGGTTGAGCCCAGCGTGGGTCTGCATTTGTGTGCTTCTCCAGAGGGTTCCAGCAGGAAACCTGACTTGGAAACCAAAGCTGCCAGGCTCACCACACCATTGGGTAAAGACTGCTCCTTCTGTGGTCACTCATAGAAACACACAACTCTGCCAGAGTAAGTAATTAAGCTATTTTCTGCTCACTGAATTTAGCAGGCTTACTTCACCCAATGCTGCCTGAAGGTGCCGGAGCAGAAATGCTGCTGTCTGCAGTTTTACCCTGGCTGTCAAGGCTGGCCATCAGGCCCTTGTGCAATGTGGTTGCTCCCTTTGCTACTTGATGAGTTTGTTTTAAGTACTATTTTTTTCTTGGAGTAGGTTCATTTACTAATAGAAAATAAGGCTCAAAATGTGGCAGAAATAATTTTAAAAACAAGTCTCAGATCTTGAAATGGGACAGGGTGCTCTTGTGTTGAGGCCCTCATCTCCTGGAAGCTTGTGTCCAAAGAGTCCCTCTTTGTGAGGGCCCCTTTCTTAGCACATGTTAAAGTCATGCCTTGTCACCCCCATTTGTACTACTGAGCCTGGGGTCCCTGTGCCTCAGCATCTGACACAGTCTAAGTGGGATAGACTTTACCTACCCATTTATTGCAGATTGTCAGTCTTCCCTTGGGAGCATCAGGTTGTCCAGAATGGGAAGTTTTATCTCTTATGGAATTTATGTGTTCCTAGTATCTGGTAAAGTGCTTGACACAATACGAATTCAAAGCATTTTTGTTGAATTAAATTAATAATTGTACATGCTTATGCATTAAAATAAATTGATCACTTTCAAATCACCTTTTGTATATATTTTTAAGTACTGATTTCAGTTTGTAAAAATATATTTTTGATGATTTTTACTGGGTACAGATACCCTACTATAGAATAAAATACTAATTTTTTAATTAGAAGAAATAAATACCCATATATATGAAAGATAATTTTTCCTGTCTCATAAAATAATTATAGTATCATAACTTACAATGAAATTAGATAAGACATCTCTCGGGAGAACCACCAAGGAGCTCAGGAACAAACGAGGCCCCTGAGACCTAGCTCACAGGATAAAACCCCACAGCAGAACTCAGAGTCAGCAAAGGCTAAGCCCCAGGTGGTTGTGACTCCTGTGTTAATGTTTAAGCTGTCTGCCAACGCCCCCAAATTTTACCCATCAGGTTATTCTGCTTATACAGAATCCTATGAAGATGGTTGTGAGGATTATCCCACTCTATCAGACTATGTTCAAGAGTTTTTGAATCATCTTACAGAGCAACCTGGCAGTTTTGAAACTGAAATTGAACAATTTGCAGAGACCCTGAATGGCTGGGTTACAACTGATGATGCTTTGCAAGAACTTGTGGAACTCATCTACCAACAGGCCACATCTATCCCAAACTTCTCTTACATGGGAGCTCGCCTGTGTAATTACCTGTCCCATCATCTGACAATTAGTCCACAGAGTGGCAACTTCCACCAATTGCTACTTCAAAGATGTCGGACTGAATATGAAGTTAAAGATGAAGCTGCGAAAGGAGATGAAGTGACTCGAAAGTGATTTCATGCATTTGTACTCTTTCTGGGAAAACTTTATCTTAACCTGGAGATCAAGGGAACAAATGGGCAGGTTACGAGAGCAGATATTCTTCAAGTTGGTCTGCGGGAATTGTTGAATGCCTTGTTCTCTAATCCAATGGATGACAACTTAATTTGTGCAGTAAAATTATTAAAGTTACAAGACCAGTTTTGGAAGATGCTTGGAAAGAAAAATTAAAGACTGATATGGAAGAAATTATTCAGAGAATTGAAAATGTTGTCCTAGATGCAAACTGCAGCATAGATGTAAAACAGATGCTCTTGAAGCTTGTAGAACTCCAGTCAAGTAACTGGGGCAGAGTACATGCAACTTTAACGTACAGAAAAGCAACACCTGAAAATGACCCTACCTACTTTATGAATGAACCAACATTTTATACATCTGATGGTGTACCTTTCACTGCAGCAGATCCAGATTACCAAGAGAAGTATCAAGAGTTACTTGAAAGAGAGGACTTTTTTCCAGATTATGAAGAAAATGGAACAGATTTATCAGGGGCTGGTGAGCCATACTTGGATGATATTGATGATGAGATGGACCCAGAAATTGAAGAAGCTTATGAAAAGTCTTGTTTGGAATCAGAGCATAAGCGAAAACAGTAAAGTTAAATTTCACTGTATCAGTTTTTATAAAAGTTTAGGTATGATGATTTAGCAGAACACAAGAAAGCAAGAACATGTGTCATACTTATACCAAATTAAGTATGTTGAGTTATGTTACTAATGTATGCAACTTTAATTTTGTTTAACACTATCTGCCAAAATAAACTTTATTCCCTATAACTTAAAATGTGTATATATATAAAATAGTTTATTATGTACAGTTAATTCCACTGTTTTGGCTACAATAAAATTGATTTTGAAATAAATGAAATGGTGAAAGTAAATTTTGCTAGCTGGTTAGATGCTTTTCTTTTTTGAGTGAAAAAGACTCAGCCTAGAAATACAGATTACTCAAAAATGTAGCTTTTTTTAAAGATAGGAATATTAAAGCTTTTTTATTTTGATACTTATGTCTCAATTAATTGAGTTTCAAGTATTGCTGGTTGTGATGGCACACACTTGAGAAGATGAGACAAGAGGATCATTGTGAGTTTGAGGTCAGCCTTAACTATATAGTGAGACCTTGTCTCAAAACAAAATTGATCATAGTCATAAACATCTGTAGCACTAGTCTTTGAATATATCAACAGCTGACTTACCACATGTAGACTGTATTTGACACATATTTGTAAAAATATCATTAATGGAGGAAAAAACTTAGAATTCCCAACTAAACAGCCAAGATTGTTCACTCAGGATTTATCTCAATTCAAGAATTTTTTTTTTTTTTTTTTGTATTGGGAATCGAACTCATGACTTGCATGCTTGCAAGGCAGGCGTGCCTATGCCGCTGAGCTAAATCCCCAGCCCAAGAATTATTTTTTTGTTTCTTATACTTGACTAACTTTAGTACCCTAAGGCCTAAAACATTTTTCTGTTTTATTTATATGACGTTCTCATTTTTATTTTGTAGCATGGATTGCATTGACTTTTTTACTAGAGAATTTTACTGGATAATTTGTCATTCAAGTTTTCATCTGCTTTATAATTGATACATTTCGAGGATCATTTTTCTAATACTTTTACTATAATGTGTTATCACCTCAGCCCAATCAAAGTAATATTTTTACCTAATGTCAAATGTTTTTCAACTAACTAAAAGACATTTATAAAAGAATTGCCTGTAAATATGCATGTAAATAGTTCTGTTAATAACCCACTGTTTTACATTTGGAACACCTGTGTCTGCTAATACAGTTAGCTTCCTCACTTTTTTGCTTGTTCAGTCTGAATTAAAGTTAGACTTTGAAAATTAAAAAAAAAAAGAAATTAGATAAAATGAGTGCCATTTAGATGTCTACAGAAAAGTTGGTACATTACTGATAAAAAATTTGGTAATGCTAATAGGGCAAGAAAGCTTTCTGTTTTTTAATAGAGTACTGAATGGATAAAGAATTCTCTAACAACACAGTAAGCAATATACTTGTGTCTTTTAAAAGAAAGTAATAGTGCCTTATTTATTGATTTTTTTATTTATCTATTTTTAAATGTAGGCTGTATGCAGGGTGTGGTGGTGTCCACCTATAACTACAGCACTCTGGAGGCTGAAGCAGGAGAATTGCTGAGTTCAAGGCCAGCCTGAACTACATAGTGAGACCCTGTCTCAAAAAGCTGAAGTGAATGAAATGTAGGATGTGAAATAGTTTCAATAAACAGGATCAATTAATGCAAACTTGCACAACAGTTATAGGTTATGAATAGTTAAGTTAGAAAAGGATTCAGCTGAGGGCTGGAGACCCACAGCTCTGGGGTACACATCTATCTTTAAACTCTGGTCCTCAGGCTAACCAACCACCGCGAGCACTCCTTTACCTCAGTGGGATGGAACCCAGCAGGTTCTGTTCCAGTGCCAGGTTGGACAGCTGCACACACCACTGAAGGGCTCCAGCTTCAAACAGGCTGACGTTATTGTTGTCCAGGAATAAGTGCCTCAGGTCTCGCACGTCCTGGAAGTCCTGGAAGTCCTGCACTGTCACTCTGCCAATCAGGTTGCCGCTGCAGTCCAGTTTCTGTAGCCTTGCTGGCAGCCTGAGGGGCAGGGCCTGCAGCTGATTTTGGGACACCTCGAGAGTGGTTAGGTTGGCGAGGAGCTGCACCCCCTCAATGGAGGAGATGCAGTTCCCCGACAGGTACAGGTGAGAAAGGTTCTCCAAGTGTTTCAGGTCTCAGAACCTCACGACTTTGAGCGGATTTCTCTCCACCTTCAAAGACAACAAGGATTTCGGTAGACTAACAGGAATTTTAGTCAGCAAGTTACCGCTGAAACTGAGGGACTCCAAAGCCTGCAGAGCACTGAAGAAGCTGCCTGGGACGAGATGCAGCCTGTTATTCTCCAGGCTCAGGTGCTTCAGGTGGGAGAGTGCCAGGGACCCAGCTATGGACTCTTATGTTGTTGCTGTCCACAGCCAAGCTCTCCAAGCTGACGAGTGGGGCCAGCGCACGGGCAGGCAGGGAGCAGATCAGGTTGTTCTGCAGCTCGAGCACTCTCAGTCTCTTCAGACCTTTGAAGTCTGACCCACGCAGGGTACCGATTGCATTCTCGTTTAGTTTCAACACGTCAAGGCTGGCTGGGGGAGCTCGAGGGACCTGTCTTAACTTATTTTTCCAAAGCTCTAAGGTCTTTAAAGTACTCAGAGTTTTGAAGGTGTCACTTCCTACAGACTCTGTTCCACTGGCCAGCAGAATGAAATCTTCTAGAGCCAACACTGCTGTGAGGTTAGACAGCTACAGAAGAAAGTAGGGTCCAGGGAGTTAAAACTGTTTCAAACCAATGCCATACGCATTATTATTACAAGACCAATGATATCAGACCAGGTTCTATTTACAGTTGTCTCAGAAAAGGGTTGAAACTCAGGTCCTGGCTGTTCCTAATTTATGATTGCTGATATTAGTGTAAGATATTAAAAATAATGTAAGCATTTTGATACACTCTTGATAGACATATATTAGCCAATTCTTGCTACCTGAAGTGCTCACAAACTGCACAGTGATTCATGTATTAGAATGTTCTTTTCATGCATTATCTTATATTATTCAGAAACTGAACAATCTACAAATCTTTTACAACCATTTCTTTTTGTCTTTGTTGTTTGATTACTAATTAAAACATCTGGCACTCGATATTTACTGTGTTTACTCTTTACAAAGCCCTATACACTTGCACGATTATTGCTTTTTTAGAAAGGAAACAAAGGCTTAAGAAAGTGAAGTCATTTGTCCAAAATATTCTGCTGCCAGGTTTAAAACTCAGGGTACCCCTAGTTTTATCTTATCCAGTGTACTTCTGCTTAGCCTTGTTGTCGTAACAGCCAATTAGCTGAAGAATACCAAGCTCTGGTGCTGCCAACTGCGAGAAGACACCACTGATTTTCAGTTAGGTGTGCAGAGCTGGCAACTGAGGAAAAGCCTGCCAGATCTGTTTCATTTCCACAGCCTTTGTGGGCTGTGTTCAGGAAGGTGAGAAGAGATGAGAACTTTTGCCCTTGAGTTAACCTAGGAGCTGCTGGCAGCTTACTTGATGTTGCTTAAAACAAGGGCAAGTAATGTATATTGGAGGCCAGGATGAGTCCCCGCAGCTTTCCCCCCAAAGGCTTTGTTTCTGGCCCTTCTCCCAGCAGCAGAGACCTTTCACTGCTTGTGGTTCTCAGAGGTCCAGCATGCGACAAAGTTGACAGACCCACAGAGCTAGCCCTGCTCTGTGTGAGCCACAGCAGCAAGGAGTTGGGAACACTGGATTCTGCCTGATCATCCAAATGTTTGTCTTCTATAAACAGTCTTAAAATTATGGAAAGAGGATAAAAATAATCCACAGCCCCACTGCTCAGTGTAACCCTGTTTATATATTTCTTAGCCAGAAAAATTGAATATAGCTTCTTCTCTTCTATAAAGTGATGTGAAGGAGAATCATTTTAACTGATTACAACAGCCACCTTTTATTTGTTGCCCCCTTAGAGGAGAAAGGTTCACTCTGAGTTAGAGCCATCTGAATGACAACGGTGAGATGAATTATTTAGGGTTTGTGTGTGAACACAAATTTGCTTCAAACTAGGAGTGACTTGGGTCACCAGGCAGTGTCTGTTGGTGTCATATGGAATGAACTGCCCCTCCAAGCTTCCATTCAACACAATCAAAACCAAGCAGTTTATCAAGAGCTGAGAGCCAACTGGGAGTGAGTGAACACAAATAGAAAAGGACGGATGTTTCCAAAGAATGAAGCTCGACTCTTATTACACCATACGAGAGAATAACTCATAATGGATCATGGACCTAAATAAAAGCTAAAACTTTAAAACTCTTAGGTGAAACTATAGGCATAAATTTCACACCGTTGAATTAAATAACACTATCTTATACATAACATCAATGACACAAATGACATACAATAAAAGACACAAATGAATCAAAATTGAAACCTTTTATGTATGAAAAGATACTATCAAGAAAATGGAAGAAATCAACAGGGTGGAAGAAACTCTTTGCAAATAATATCTCTAATAAAAGACTTATATCTAGAACATCTAAAGAATGCTTAAAACTGAATACTAGAAAGATGAACAATTCAATTACAAAGACAAAAAAGATTTGCATATGCATTTCTCCATAGAAGTTACACAGTTGGTCAATGAGCAGGAAACGATGTTAAACATCATTAGCCAATGGGAAAATTCACATCAAACCTGCAAGATACCACCTGGCATATACTAGAAAGGCTATTACAGGAAGGAAAGAACAAAGATAAGAAGTGTTACGAGCTTGTGGAAAAACTGAACTATCACATGGGGGAATAGGGACAGACAGCACGGCCACTCTGGGGAACAGTTGGACAACTCCTCAAAATGTTTTCAGAGACTATGTATGACCCAGAAATTTCACTGCTAGGTACAAACTGGAGAGAAAAGAAAACTTAGTCCGAATAAAAACTTGTATTTGAGTCAAGCATGGTGGTGCAGGCCACCATGTGAGTTCAAGGCCAACTTGATCTACAAAGTTTTTTGAGACTCTATCTCAAAAAGCAAGCAAACAAACAAAAACCCCAAAAGCTTATATCTGAAACCTAAATATCTGTAACTGTGTCATTTATAATAGAAGATACAATCAAAACATCTGTCAACTAATACACGGTCATACACGGTATGTTATACATGTTTCCTGGAAAATAAGACCTACCTGGAAAGTAAACTGCGCTGTAATCAATAGCTGGTTGTTACCTTGGTGATGGTCAGTGTCAGGCAGCAGATACCTCACTGGCTCCTCCCTGATGGCAAGGAAAGCAAAGACAGGTGCGCTGGGGCTGTTTGGTTTCTAATTAGGTCTTATTTTTCGGGAAACATAGTGGTATGGTGGAGGGGGGCATTCAGCCTTTAAAAGGAAGAAATTCAGATCTCTGCTAGGACCTGGCTGAGCACTGAGGACAGTGTGTTGAGACATCCAAGCTCCCAAACAGCAAGGAAGGGGAGCCTTAATTCCCATTGGAATGTGGTCTGCAAAGCCTTCATCTGCATGAAGAATCCCAGTAGACAGCCAGCGAATCCCAAGGGGAAAAGTCCCATGGAGGGTGTGGGGCAGGGCCCAGACACTCGTGGGGAATGCTCCAAAGGGAGAGGTATTGGAGAGACAGATGCCGGCAGGCCCATCCGCAGGCACAGACCCAGAGGAGGTAGAGGATGCCAAGTCCCTAGATACCAAAGTGAGCGCTGTGCTCGGAACCATCCTGACTGCGGAGTAAGGGAAACCTGAGCTAAAGCGCAGAGGTGCTAGGCCCAGGAGACTAACGAAGGGAAGATTCGGACTAGGGTTTCACTGCTATCTGCTATCCTCACGCAAGGAGCAAGTGAACACCCAGAAGGAGGCACAGGAGAGGGATGCCAGGCCGAGGGCACAGGGCAAGGAGCTGGACTCCCTGCATGGCTGGCCCCTGGGGGGCATAGCCAGACCTCGGCTCACGGTAGAAAGAGATGCTGAAGGTGGTAGCAGACATTGACCCAGAAGCCAGAGGGCAGCCTGGGCCCAGGGGAGGCTGGCGACTTCGGTTCCATGCCATGCCTGATAGATGCCTGATAGATGTCTTCCCAGGCAGTGTCCATTGTCCACTGCCCAGGTGTGGGAGGAGCAAAAGGAGAATCTACAACTTACTTTAACAGTGAGGCCTTGCTGCCTGGGTGAGAAGCAGTAGGGAATGTACCCAAAAGAAGGGCAATAAGAAATAAACTCACTAGCTGGGAGAATGTGAACTCGAGGACTAGAAGTCTCTGTGGAATAGGAATCAAGCACAGCAGCTGAACAGAAAGGAGATGGCAACCACGAATCTGAGATTTTCCCAAATTCGGAAAGTTCTAGGTGATGAGGAGCATGACAATGACTGCGACATAACCAAGACAGCCAAGCCAAGTGGACAGGTACTTTCCTATGCATCTAGGAAATGCAAGACTGGGATTTGGGAGCAGCCATCCATGCAGAAGGAGGAAAACATCACTGACACCCACAGACAGGAGCCTAGAGACCGACACAGCAACGGCACAAACCGAAGGCAGCGGGGAGTTCACAGACGAATGGATAAATACAACCCCTCTCTTCCTGAGGGCAGAAACTTAATTTTCAACTCTCTATGATTAGCTTCAAGTATTCATGTTCCAAAACACAGATGAATTATTTGAGCAAGCATTTAAAATTGATGTATGGATATTAATATGTATTTATGATTAAATGATATGTACAATGATTACAGTACCTTTAATCTGAGAATTCATTTAAGATGTTTTCCTTTAAATACAGGAACCTGATTCTGTAAATTCAAATCAGGAAACCTGAATATACTTAATATTTGATTCATCTGAGTAACATACAATATAAAACCTGGTCTTTTGGGGAGGAGCACTATTGCCCAGAGCTCTTCGAGTCCTCCACAGAGCAGGCCTCTCCTCACCAGTCCTTCAGATGTGAACTGCGTACCCCGGGTGGGCCAGTTAACTGTGTTAAGCTCAGGGAAGTGGCAAAACTCCTGTTCAACAAATGACTCCTTCAGTAACTGAATTGGATGTGAGGTTAATTTCATCCTGTTGGCTACAAAGCACAGCAGGATTGTTACTGGCCTAGCAGGCAGCTTAAGCCTCAGAGCAAATACATAAATGCACACCCCGCACCCCTCCTCGGTGGCCTGGTGTTGGGAGCCTGGTGTCCTCTGACCCTGGGCCCCACTTGCCCACCTTGCAATGCAAGAAGGCAGGACAGGGGTAGAGAAGGCCCTGTACCTGGAGGTGCTGGATCTTGCTGTGGCTGATGTAGAGCCTTGTGGTGGTTGGCGGGATCCCTGGTGGCACCCCAGTGAGTCTGTAGCATTGCACTGAGTTTGGGGACTCACAGCTGCATCTTCCAGGATAGTCGGCCCTGAACCCAGGGACCAGAGGGAGCAGAACGAGGAAGGCATAGAGCAGCTGCATCTTCCAGAGAAAGGGCTCACAGCTACAGGCAGTATGGAGGTGCCGCCTTGCTCTTTATGCCATAGATCTGATAACAGAACCTTATGTGTACTCTGTCATTGTGAGAAGACAGAAAAGGAAAATATTCTCAATTCACCTGGGTTAAAATGTTAGCAGCCCTTACAAAGAAGAAGGGGCTTAAACATTGACAAGCTGCCCTAATATTTGTAGGTGAGCAAAACCCTATGTTATTTATGACTTGGAGGCCAATCAGCAAATACCTCTATTATCTGTGGTTTCCTTTTTGTTAAATGTGACACCAGGGAATTAGTGGGAAAAAGAGAGAGCTGTTTTATAGTAGGCCATAAAACCTTTGACTATTCTGTGACCTAATATTAAAACCATTTTTGTAGGACTGAACCTGGCAGGTGTTTTCTCCTCACACTAACTAGTAAGGGAACATAGCAGGTTTTCTATTTAGCATTGTTTCAGTGATACTTTATTGCTAGCTGAAACAATGAAATAGGATGAGGAGATAGTTAGAACTGTGGATAAGTTGCTTCATCTATCATTGAATCCACTTCTCACTTTGGAAAATATCTCTGTCCTTCAAAAATATTATTGATTCCATTAAAACAAAACATCATAGATGAATCTTTTGTCTTTGGCTACTGGGAACTGTGGTGTGAGGAAGGCTCCAAGTTCTGCATTGTGGTGAAGCCCTTTGGGCTTTGGGATCACACTGTGAACTACTTATTTTCCATGGAAGTTCTATAGCTTTGCTGCAATTTTGGCATTATTTCTAATTTTGGCATTATTTACGCTGTAAATAGCTTCGTCAGATTGTAAATATACTTATATATAACTTCTTAATCTTGTTGCTATTATAGTTTTTATATTACTTCATAGTCTTTATAAACTTAAATGTCTGAATAATTTTCCATGAAGATTATTATTCCTAACTTCACCACTTTCTCTGCATGGGGTTTTTAAGTTTTCCCAATTTTACCATCATAATTAACTATGATAACGAAAGTTTGAGAGTGTGTTAAAGGAGCAGAGAGCTATGCCCATTTATTTAGGTTAAGCGAAGAAGTCAGCTTTTTTTCAGGTGGAAGACAGGTCTTGTGAGTACTCTGATCTGAGAGGAAGGACGGGAGACATGGCCTCAGTTCTCCAAGGACTGTTTGCTGCAGCTGCGGGCGGTGCGAGGAACTGATGTGCTGCGTGGAGCGTGGCCCTCGGAGCTGCATGGATGCCCCACATCTGGCTGCCTCTGCTGCCTGTGAGTTTTCATGTGGGACTGAGGGCTGGTGTGTAAAGTCCCGCCCCTGCCTTTGTGGGTCCTTGAGACTAAGTTAGAGGCCTATAGTTTTTCTCCAAGGACTTAACAACACCTTATCTGAGTATTTTTACTTGGGTTCTTCAGGTAAGAATCTATGCAGAGGAATGTAAGATGTCTTTCTGGTGCATAGGAACTCAGTGACCTAGCTAGCAACTCTTCGACCTCTAACCCAGAACCTCATGTAGTCTTTCAGTACAGGGACAAGAAGGTTCAGTGACTGCTTTGAATCTGGATTACATTGGCCTGGACTCTTGGTTCAGATTATCAAACTAGGACTATCCCTACTTTATTTTCCCCATCCTTCTTGGAAACGTTTTTAATTGTCATGAGAGAGAAGGAACAGTGAGTCATGGCCAGGGACACTGCAGGTCACCCTACAGTGCAGAACTCAGACCGCCCTGCAGGAAGATACAGGCAGGAAACTGAATCCACAAAGGAAACAAACTCAAATCCCCAGATCTGTGGCTAGGGACTCGTCAGTGCAGGGTTCAGACTGTAAAACAGAGTAACCAGAAGCCTTTTATAAAAAATGAAAACCTCTGTATATCAGATAAAAGAAATTTTAAAGAATAAAAATTATGATTCTTTTTCAGTTATCTTCTTGTTCTGGAGTATGTCTCAGAGACACGGTTAAGCTGAAAGTAAAACAGGAAAGTTAAGTTCTACTGCTTAACCTCAGCAAGTTTCATTCTCTTCTGTAAAACGAAGAGAAAAAAGAAGGATAATATCCCTTTTACAGAAAGGAAAAGAGAAAACAAACAGCTCCTCACATCACATAAGGCCGCATCTGGGGGATGGCACATACCTACCATTTCAGCCTTCTGGGAGACTGAGGCAGAAGGGCCACATGTTCTAGTCCAGGATAAGCAATTCAGCTCCTAGACCACTTTAACATGGGGGAAGGGCTGGGGATTTAGCTCAGTGGCATAAGTGCCTACCTAACAAGCACAAGGTCATAAGTTCGAACCCTGGTACCAAACAACAACAAAACATAAACATGGGGGTTTGTGCATGCTGGGGACTTAGTGAGGTCTTAAGAAAGACAGTTAATGAAAGTTATATTACTTTGGGCTGTTAATTGCAACAAAACCAAGTTCTGGCTGATTAGAGCAACACAGGCAATGCTGAGAGAAAGCTGGGGAGCACCAGGATGGTAGGGAAGTTTGGAGACCCAGACCTGAAGCAGGCAGGAAGGACAGTGACAAGACAGCCAGGAGGGTGGCCAAGATCAGACCTATCTGGCATGTAGCCCCCACCCACATAGGGCTGGCCGGGCTGGTAGACAGAACTAGAACCGGGTCCCGGCCCTCTCCTTGAGAGCCTGAGGCCCTTGGCCTGGTCTGGATGTACCCTTTCCCTGCGCCCAAGCAATTGCCACTCTCCCCAACCAGAGTTGAGGTGAGGCAGCTCCCAAGGACTTTGGTCTGGACTTGGCAATCTCTGCCTTGGTCACCCACAGGCCTGGAGTGGGTACAGTAAAGAATTCGCAATCAAAGCCAGGACGCTGTGGGTCTGGGGAATGGGCCAGGCCCTGAGAAGTAAATCCCACAGAAACTGAGGAGGATGGGCACAGCCCCTAATAGGGACTGTAGATGACCTGAACCAGTGCCTCAAAAGTGACAGCCTGGGGGCTGGAGGTTTAGCTCAGCGGCATAAGCACCTGCCTTGCAAGCAGGCAGTCGTGAGTTCGATCCCCGGCACCGATAAAAAGGAAAAACCTTTGCCTGCAGAGGCCTGGAAATGTGATTCCCGGTGGGTTGGTCGGACCCTTTCGGTTAGGCTTGCTTCCAGGTCTGCTTTTGTTCGGGTTTGCTTTCAGAAACCATTTGTGGAAGAGGAGTGTCCATCCGCCTTGGTCTTGTCATGCCACTGAAATCTTCAAGTTTTAAAAGAAGACAGCAAATAGCTGTCCCGTGTATGGGACAAAAATACAGTGAATGCTTCAATTTTTAAAAATTATTAGTACAGTAAATACATTGCCACTCACCACCCATTCTCCCTCGCTTGGCACTTATCCTGTCATTCTTGTGCTCTCTGAAGAGGCTCTGGAGTCCCTTGCTGAGTGCCTTCAGTGGCACTGTTGTGGCTGCCTTAGCATCCTGAATCTGTTCATACCTTCCCCTCTCATGGTCATTTTGGGAAAGCTCAAGAGTCTTACGCATCAGATCCAATGAACTTGGTACCAGACACACTGTGTTCTCACAGGCTTGCCCTTCTGTGATGGCACCAGGCAGCAGCATCTGCTGTATTTTTGTGCTCACCTTCTAAACATATGAAAGACGAGTTCCAGAACTGCTTCAGAAAGTGGCAGGAATGATGTGATAAACATGTTCTATGGGAGGCTGAGCATTTTGAGGAGAAATTAATTTTATTGTAGTGAGCTTTTATTTATTTATTTGTTTAGGAGTTTTTTTTTTTGGGGGGGGTACCAGGGATTGAACTCTTTACCTTGTGCTTATCAGGCAAGTGCTTGAGCCACTGAGCTAAATCTTTGGCTGTAGTAAACTTTTTTTTTTTTAATTTTTTTATTTTTTTTATTTTTTATTTTTGGTAGTACCAGGGATTGAACTCAGGACCTCACGCTTGACAGGCAGGCGCTTATGCTGCTGAGCTAAATCCCCAGCCCTTGTAGTAAACTTTTAAATGCTAAACATTCACCTTATTTTATTAAAAGAGAACAGCTAGAAGGAGAATTAGGCAATAAATCACTGTACAAAGTCCAAGCTTACTTTAGTATGACCTGAAAATTTCAAATTATCAAACAGTAATTAATACAGTAAATATAAATAATACGTATGAGCACAACATTCCAAGATTTTCTCACCTTGCCCCAGTAAATGGCAGTGGATTTACGCTGACTTTATTCACTCATTGTGCATCTGTTTCTAACCACAAGTAGCACTTATTTAATTTCTCCCTTTTTTCTGGCACGGTCACTGGAAATTAACAAGCGCAAAGCCTAGGACACAGTAGAGTGCGATGGGTGAGCTGCCTCTCCTGTGTAGGGTGGTCTTGCATGTCTTCCAGTCTCTCTGCAGTCAGGGGTGCTTGATGAGCACCTGATCTGCACGCTCACTCCACAGCTAATCTGCAGCACCTTCGCCACTAGTCCCAGTGTCCTCGGTGTCTACTTTACTTTTCTTACACGCACACACACACACAATATATATATATATATATATATATATATATATCCTGTGCAGAATTTATTACTCACCGTGTAGCCCAGCCTGGTCCCAAACTCAGGATCCTCCTGCCTCAGCCTTCCAAGTGCCAGGGTGCCGATGCGCGCCACCACACCTGGCGGGGTTTCGTGGTTATATTGGATTGTTTCAAACCACAAACGCATGATTTGTGAAGCAGTCACTAGAAGTTTCCGCCAACCGCACCGCGCACAGAAGCATTACAACTTTTTTTTTCATCCGTCGGAAACAATCCCACAAGAGTGTTGCCAGCGCGCAGTCCCAGACTTCAGGGGGGCAGGGCGAGGAGCCAGCGCGGGTGCAGCACACCACCAGCAGGGGGCGCACGTGACCACGCAGCCGCTCCCTCGGCCCTGCTAGCTCGGTCGGACGAGGAACCCACAGCAACGCCAGAGGCGGGCACGCAGGGCTGCGGCACTGGCACCGCCACTCCCACAGTACAGGGAAGAGACTACAGCAAGGAAGCTGCTGAGGCAGGAGGTTGTAACTTAGGGAACGCTGCCGGCTTCTGCCGTGGAACCAAGATAGGGCCGAACCCGATCTCCGGGTTACTGCAGCTGCGGCTAAGACGAGGCCAGAGCGCTGCAATCTGTGGAAGGCGAATGGTACTTTTTAAAGAGAATGCAATTTATATTCGGGCGCAATCCGTATAAAGCAGAGTTAAGTGTTACTTTCTGGTTAATATCCTGTATACGTTAATAGCTTTGTGTGGCTTATAACGGGGAGGAACTTTTAACTTTTGGCACTGACTTGAGCACTTCCCGTCTGTAAAAAGCGACGATGCATACTGCCACAGGCCTCCATGAAGACCAAAGAAATACAGCAAATAATTGCTAACTACTACATTTTGAGTAGAGGAAGTGGCCAGGGGTTTGATAGCTGTACCAATGATGTCGCAGATGAGATGCACATTAACTTTATATTACTGACCGTGTGCTAGAACCTGTGGAGGCTCCCTCAAGCTCAGGGTTACCTTGGTGCAGTCGCCTGCTGAGAGCCAAGGGCTGAATCTCTTGACACTGCTTGATGCTAACCAGGAAGCGCTGATAGCAGCATCTCTTGCTTTTAGTTGTCTGTTAGCACCGGGTGGATTAATGCAAAGGCTCCATCCCAAGAAGACAGTGAAGCAGATTCAGCAGAGCCTCCAAACTACTTCCATAGGCGACCCAGAAGAGACAATTCCTACCTCCTAACAGGGCACTGGACTAGAAGGGGCTAGAGAGGACGGGGGAGTGAAGACAGCAATTGCTGAATGGCTTCCAGGTGTCTACACAATTCAAATTCAGGTTGCAACTGTGCAAATTCCCTTCCTGGGGCCTAGGAGTTCAGCTCCGGCTTCAGGCCTTACCTGGATCTGCATTCAGTGTTTATAAACATTTGAATTGCCAGAATTTTGTTTTTTCTGAAATGTCCCATTTGGGGACATTACTAGCTTTCGAAGTAAGTACACTAATTAAAGTAACTGCCTTAAACTAGGTGTGACGACGACGCTCACCCCTAATCTTAGCACTGTGGGAGGCTGAGGCATGAGGGTCACAAGTTTAAGCCAACCTGGTCACTTTAGCGAGACCTGCCCCCCTCCCCCAAGAAGGGGGGATGTAATTGGGGATGTAATTCAGAAATAAATAACCCCTGGGGATGTAGTTCAGCTTTAAGTCCCTAGATTCAATCCCACTATCACTAAATACATATATCGCTGCTTTAACGTGTACAAAATAGCAACACCAAGCATTCTACCTCATTGGGGAGTGAAGTCTATACTGGAGATAGACTTCGGCCTGCCTGGCTCTAATCACAAAGGGCTCCTAACCAACTGCGTAAAACCTGTCAGTCGCATCTACCGGCAGCCTTGCGCAGTGCAGAAGTAGAAACCTGAGTCCGCCCTCTCCACGCCGCGCTGGAACCGGACTAGGAAGGCCAGACGTGGCGACTGCGCGTGCTCACACTGTTTAGTCACTTTGAGCGGGAACTGGAGGCAAAACGAGGTGACTGCGCATGTTCACATAACCTTCCATCCAATCTCCCAACCGCGACCCTGGACGCCACTGAAGCAACTTTTCCGAAGTCAGTCTGGCACAGGCTATTTCTTTCTGCGACGTGGACACTCTTTCCCGGGCTCGTCCTGTTTGGAAGCCAACACAAGCGCCTCCATTTCTGAGGGTGCCTCCTCAGACTTTGCCAGTAGTCAAGATGGCCGCCAGTGGGCGGAGCCCAAAGGAGCGCTTCCATTGGTCTCGATCTCACCGCCCCACCCGCTTAGTACTGCGTGCGCCGTCCTGTCCTTCTTCATGCGTGCGTGCGCGGCGGCGTGGCTTGGAGGCGGAGCAGCTGGGGCTTCCGTGTATGGCTGCCGCTTCCTCAGCCTGGCTCCCGGCGCGGTAAGGCATCCTCGCGGCGTGAGCGCAGAGGGTAGAAGGTCCGACTGGCGCGCGGGGCCCCTCAGGCCTGCAGTAGTCCCGCGCAGGCGGGCGGTGGCGGGGGTCGGCGCCGTCCAGGAGGCCGAGGCGGCGCCATGTCGACAGGCGGCCCGTGCCCGGCGGCCGCTGGAGGGGACCCGGGGGGCGCTGCGGGGGTCTCCCCGGGTGGGGTCTCCATGTTCCGGTGGCTGGAGGTGCTGGAGAAGGAGTTTGACAAGGCCTTCGTGGACGTGGACCTGCTGCTGGGCGAAATCGACCCGGATCAGGCGGACATCACCTACGAGGGGAGGCAGAAGATGACGAGCCTGAGCTCCTGCTTTGCGCAGCTGTGCCATAAAGCGCAGACCGTGTCGCAGATCAACCACAAGCTGGAGGTGTGTGGTTCGGGGAGCAGGCAGTCTTGGGGTGCTGGGCTGTCGGGTGGTGCGAGCCAGGGTGGGCCGCGGGCGTTAGAGCCTGTAACGCACGGCGAGGTTACCCGGGCTTCGAGTGTGCTGGGGAGCCGTAGCGTGAGAGTGCGGGAGCGGTGACGTGGGTGGGAGGCTGTGAGACCGCCCGCTTGCACGTTTCCTGGGGTCCTCTCGCCCACTTTGTTAGGCTGCTACTGAGGAGGGCTGCAAACAGTTCCAGCAGCCTCCCAGACAGAGCTGCTGAGTCCTTGGAAGGTGCGCTGTCAAGAGAATCCTTTAACCCACTCTGAGCATCACAGTTGTGCAGATCTGCTTTCTCATTGATAAACCAGACTGGCATGTTTTCAGATGGTCACAGCCTTGGTTCTTTTAAATATTGCAGATCAACGTCTGGTTGCATAAAGAGACATGCACGAACTGTTTAGGGAAATCTGATCAGACCACTTAGGACAATTTAATGAAATGTATACATACGATGATATTGTTGTCTTTCTTGGTTTACCTTACAGATGTCTTTAAATTACAGGCAGATATCTTCAGAGCTCCCTGTTCAAGTAACTTCTGACTTTAAGGTTTATGTGTTTGTACTTTGGTTTGTTTCCCAAAATCTGGATTTGTTTTCGAGAGTAGGTGAAAATGTATTTGTTTTAGTCTGGCATTCTGGATGTGGATGTGGCGGTGGGGAGTGCTAGCTGTTCCAAAGCAAAATAAAATTTGTCACACTGTGCAGAAAATTAGAAATTATGAGAGATGAACATTATTACATATGCCACACTTTCTAATTAGGCAATTAGGAAATGGGTGTTTCAGTTAGATAAAAATCGGATAATCAATGATGTGCCGAGCTCTGAGCATTCACTTTCCTAAGAAATCTTTGCTACTAGTTGTAAGAATTGAGACTGACCATCGTATCCAAATTAATGTCTGCCAGATAAGCATTCCCTCCTGTCCTTACTTAGTGGTCAGCATTTCCTCTTTCATGTTAGTTATCCATGGAAAACCTAGTATAACTAGCCTTCAATTAATGTAGATTTGCATCCCCAGTTTTGTGACTGCGACTTGAGAAAATTGTTAATTTTTTTCTGAAAATGTTGGCTGGAATGTGCTGATGTTAAGGTGAGCACTTATTGTAGATGAATGAAAATGTCTTGATGAGTGACACTTCTAGAAACTAGCTGTTAGTTATAGCTGGTAGTGAAACTGCATTCATGGCTTTTTAGAAATAGTGCTTTATCTTTAAAACTTTTTATTTATTTATTTATTTGTTTATTTTTGGTACTAGGGATTGAACTCATGAGCTCGCAGTTGCCAGGCAGGCACTGTGCCACTGAGCTGAATCCTCGCCCTAAAACAAGCATCAAGAGTAGCTATTGATCACATGGGAAAGTGCATATCATTTACAACTTTACATCACTGCTGGGGATAAATTTTTTTTTAAATGAAACAGTTTCTTATTTTTAAAAATGACCTACAGAAATGAAGTAGTGAGGTTTTTGATATGAAATATGCAATCTGATTTTGAAGAAATTCTAGTGTGTGAGTAGGAGGTAGTGTTAAATGTTTGTGTAAATATTTTGAATAAGTACTGAGGTGTAATAAATTCTTTCTCAGGAATTATAATTCTGTGTTCTGATTCTTTGTCCTGGCTTAGGAGGTAGCATTTTTTTCTGAAAACAAGAAATGCTAGCATATGACAGTATGAGCATTTTTTTTTTTTTAATTTTGTTTTTGTCTTTTTCATCTTTATCGGTACCAGGGATCGAACTAATGACTGCCTGCTTGCAAGGCAGGCGCTTATGCCGCTGAGCTAAATCCCCAGCCGTAAGCATGTTTTTTTCAACACATGTGAAACCAATTCAGAAAGTTAGAAAGCGATGAAGAGAGAGACATAACTTGATGTTTTTAGTTGTTTATGTGTATTTTCAGTTACTGTTACCTGGTCTGTCTTTGGTGTTGATCTTTACATTTGTAGCATCTGTAGTTTTCATGGAATCTATTTGTAATGCTGTGGAAAGTCCATTGTCAACAGTGCCTTTTATAGTAGCTCTACTGATGCACAAGTTGCACAATTTCAGTTAATCGTGTGAATTTTTAGAATAGTAGCTGATTTCTGTACTTTCTTGCTCTGTTTTATTCCTTAGTAAGCAGATGAGTTATACTGTTATAATTGTATGAACCCTAAGGTGTAATACTTGAGGTTGCTTATGGTTTCTGTAACAAATGAGTGCCAAAGTTTAGTGATTTTAGAGACTAATACTTTAAAACCATAGTATCATAATAAGGTGTTTTTATATTATCAAGGCACAGATATTTCCAAGTAGTTTATATATGCAAGTGATTTTTAATACATTTAAATTGTTTGAGTTACCTTCCAGATTGCCATTTCTGCACAGTCCTTATAGTTTTAGGTAATACTGCAGTTTATATAAATCTATTTGTTATGAAAACACTTATATTGAAAAAAATCTTACATTTTAAAATTAAATATGAATGACATTTATGTGGCTGCTTTATGCCAGAAGTTAGATGTAGGAAGCAACATACCTGTGGAGGTAGGGGATGACAGAGAATATTAGGATGTTTTGACATTTTGAGGGAGTACCATTTCAAAATTGTTTTTTCTTTCTTTCTTTCTTTTTATTTGTTTGAGGTAGAGACTCGCCTTAAAGTTCAGGCTGGCCTAAACTTGTCGCGATCTTCCTTACTCAACATCCCAAGTGCTGGGATTATAGGCATGTCTGGCACCTCTCTTTCTTAAACTTTCCATTTGCTTAAGAATGAATTTTTGCTGTGGTGAGCCACTTTCTGAGCTTTACTACTAGTGGTGCTATTACTACGAGTATTCACACTAGTGGTGCTATTACTACTAGTAGTTCATAACCTTGTAGTAGTATTGATTCATAACCTTTGTTCTGTCAACATGCCATAGAAGTAGCTGATAGGTATATGGAAATAGTGTCCTGCTTGTCTATACCTTTAAAATAACAGGAAAACAGTTGGCTTGTGTCACATCTTCCTTTCCCTGTGCAATGCTGAGTTAGCATGTAAAGTGATTTCCTGCTCACCACCATCTGTAGAGAAACACTCATAATAAGCTGGTAATACACTTGTTCTGTGCTGTGTGAAATCTGTCCTGTTTTTAATTAGATTGTTGTGCAACCTTCAAGTTGAATATTGACATACTACATATTAGTTGAGCTCTAATAATGGCCTAGATATTGTATTGGGCAACTAAAATAAAATAGCAAAAAAAAGACATAGTCATTGCTATTATAAAGCTTGGGTCCCATTAGGGGAATTTGTTTGGGGAGTAATGGCATAAATGAGAAATGGTAGTTTTGATGAGTGCAGTGAAAAGGACACAGACTGATGGGTGCCTGTTTGGGAGGGTAGAGAAGGCTCCCTGGGAAAGTTCGAGTTGAGTGAAAACAGAAGCACTGAGTGGGAATTAACGAGGCTCAACGAATTAAGAGTGTTGTCCACACTGCAGTAAACTGACCAGGAGGTGGAATAACCCTGAGCATGGTGCATCTGAGGAAGTGACAGTAGTCCTTCATGTGTTTTAAGAAGATATAGGACATAAGGTAAGTTTGTACATGGCTTGTGGGGGGCTGTACCCTACCAGTGTTCAAACCCTGTGGTAACCTCAGGTGTGAGCTTAGAATTGGCCACTCTGGCTGCAGTGTGGAGGAAGGTGGGAAGAAGGAAATGGAAATGCAGGCAGTCATCTGGGCAGTTTTATTATCCATGGGAGAATGGAGACATGGAAAGTAGTCAGAAACTTCAAGGGTAAATAAAGAACAGAATAGAAGATAGATAATGAGAAATAGGAACATAGATCTTTCTCAGATGGGAAGAGGGTCAAGAGATAGGGGGAGTTGAAAGGAAGGAAAAGGGTGAAAAAGAGTAAAAATAAACCAGGTGTGGTAGTGCATGCCTATGATCTCAGCACTTGGGAGGCTGAGGCAGAATAGAAGGATAACCAAGAGTTTAGGCCAGCCTTGAGACCTTGTCTCAAAAACAAAACAAAGTAAAAAAAGAATTAAGTGTTAGGGCCAGGGATGTAGCTCAGTGACATAAGTGCCTACCTGGCAAGTGTGAGGTCATGAGTTCGTTCCCCAGTACCAAAAAAAAAAAAAAAAGAATTAAGTGGTATAAACATGTAGTAGTTACACGCAACAGACGTAAACATTATGTACTGGAAACATGCACTAATAAGAATAGACTAGTAAACTTAAAAAAGATGATGAGATAAAAATCAACAGCCTCTAGGAGTGGATTAGAGTGAGAGGGGGTTCAGTATGACCCAGCAATGTCAATGAGCTGCCTGGACAGGAAGGTGGGGGATGGTGGTAATCAATGAAAATGCTCTTCACTCACCTTGCTGGTCAGTGACCATGGCCTAGGTCTGTCCTGAATCTTTCCTTAACACAATTCATCTCATTCCCAGTAATCATACCAGTAACCACCAGATAGGTGATTATTGGTATGATTACTTTGATTTTACAGGGTCTGCAGGTTCTAGAGCTAGAAATGAATCTCTGTACAAACACATTTATATTTGGTGGAGTAGTTAGGAGAAATGGTGAGAAAGCCAGAAAGAGTGTGGCTGGATAGATGGAGAATGTGCAGTTCAAGGTTAGTATCATTTCATTTTGGTTTAATCAAAAAAATAAACTTGAACATACATCAGTGAGAAGCATCTAGTTGAGGTAAGAGTTGAATATTATAGAAAAAGGAACCAGGTGTGGTGGTGCATGTCTGTGATCCCAGCATTTGGGAAGCTGAGACAGGAGGATCACCATGAGTTTGAGGTCAGCTTGAACTACGTCCCCAGACCCTATCTCAAAAAAATGGGGAAAAAAAGGAGAGCAGAATTATATTAGTAAGATCCTGAGTGACAGTGAGATATGGAGTTCAAGAAGATAGCACGACCTTATTGAGAGGATGAGTACAGAGGCGTC